ATCTCCACAAGATAAAAAAAATTCAGAGTAGAATACCAGGTTTTCACACAAAAATTTCATTGAGGGCAGTGTTTGAAATGGAGAGGAGTTTAAGATTCATAAAACAAAAATGTTTTAAAAATGCATTTAAACCTGGCAGATGGTTGACAGATGATTTGGATTTCAGCTCTCATAATTTCGGAGTGTTGGCTGACACTTCTGGGAGCTGAAGTCCAAAACAAATAGAGGACCAAAAGTTGTCAACCACTGACTCAAACCATTAAAAAAATAGGTAACAAAGCTGTTATCTGTTCATTTGACTCACATTTCATTTTAATCAGATGCAAGATAGTTTTGTATTTTAGGAAAGGGCACTGCTAGTGCAAGAAGAGCTTGCTTTCTTCACCATAAAATTTAGATTCTCAATCAATCCTGAGAGAGGGCAGACTTGTCTATGTAAAATTGATGGGCTTCTCTATTTCAGATAAGCTATACTAGCCAAACTATAATTGTTCAACAAATTCAGACTGCAATCTCCAGTGAGCTGAAGATTCAAATAAGAATTGAAAATTAGCTTATTGAAGATATGTTCCTGATATGTTATGCATTGCACAAACCAACATAGTTTTTATGCATGCTTAGAGAGCTCCAAAATATTTCTTGCCCTGAACAGATTGAGGTAGCACTTGCAAGGGTCAGGGGTTGTCTAGCAATGGGACTTTCCTGGGCTTTGGAGTATTGTAATGCCTTAGAGACTAGTGGCTGATCCAACAACTCCTGGTAGCTACTGGGGCTTTCAAATTAATTTTAGTAGAGATCTTATCCAAGACTTCCACCCAGTAAACTCAGGACAATGTATGTGGCCCCACCCCTGCAGCATATCTTTACAAGAGTCTTGTGAGATATTTCTGCCTACCCCAAGTATCCCTTGAGCTGGGATTAGAGCTATCTCCTCACCTCTAGTCGTACCCTCTGATAACTGTACCACAATGCCTCTCTTCCCTTTTATCAGAATAGGAGACAACTGTGCACATGCCATTCATTCATCCTTGAAATAAATGACATGCATCTGATTGTGCATGCAACCATACAAAGAGCCTTAATCTCAGATTGACTGCCTGCAGTCCTGTGCTTTTGTGTGAATTGTCTACTTCATCATATGTATAAAGCAGAGTGAAAAGACAGCCTATACAAACACGCTCAGTGCAAAAACAACTCCATTGTAGGGAGAACTAAAAGTAACAGAACATTTATATCAGAGATTTTCAACCTTTAGCCTTCCATATGATTTGGATCTCATTTCCCAGAAGCCCCAAACAACAAAGCCAATGGTCAAGGAACCTAACAAACAGGAACCTGAACCTCCCAAAACATTTTGAGGAGCAATGATTGAGAACCACTGATCAATATGTGTAGCATTGTGTGCCTTCCAGTAGTTTCCAACTTAGGACAACTCTAATGTGAACCTATCATGGGGTTTTCTTGGCAAGATTTGTTCAAAGGAGGTTTGCCATTGCCTTCCCCTGAGGCTGAGAGTTAGTGGGAGAGGAAAACACAATTCCCGCGTTCCAAATTATTTTATTTTTATTTTTATTTTACAAATTTACAATGAAAAGTAATTCTACTTAAACACAACATGTTAGGATGTGATTTTACCAATTCCTAAGTGGTTACAATAATACCTGGCCCACATGCAATAATAAGGACATGGAAACCTGAGGAAAAGACAATAAGGGATGAAAGTAGGTAATTGTTCCCTTACTTAGGAATGAACTCCATCCAGTACATACTAAGAAGTGCATAAAATAAAACAGAAGTACATTCTGTAAGTCATAATGGTGGTTACTTCAAAGAAAGGAAAGGATCTCCAGGTATTTCATAAACTCCAATTTGCAGTGTTTCTAGCTTCCAGATAAATTTCTGCCTATCATTTTTCATTGTAATTGTCCCATAGGAATATGTTTGATGATGATGATGATGATGATGATCACCCTGTGGCTTTAAAGCCAGTAAATGAAAAATAATTATATCAGTAAACATACACAGAAAGATTAAGCAACTCATCAGTTGTCTTGCTAGTTTCTTCTTGCTGACAACAAATTGGCAAGCATTACAATACTGCATTAACAATGAAAATCTTGACCAACTCAGATTTGACACCTAAGAAGGTTTACACACTCTTTGAGGATATTTTTGTAGCCCAATTAATTGCATTTACTCCCAATCCATTTAGGAGTTTCTCTCATGTTATTCTTTAAGGCATATTTTCCAGCCTATTGCTCTCCAGATGTGTTGTTGATATTGTGGCAGGAGAACTGATATCACTAGTACTGTTTTCTTGTGAACAGTCCAACATTCTTTCCTTAAATGATGATCAGCCAAATACAACTGCCAATGTTCTACCATATGAAAAAGACAAGGTGCCATAGGTTGTACCTTATGTTTGGGACAATTAAGCCCTTCTCCCCAAAATGGCAAAACAATTTCCATGCACTCTAATAGAATGGAAATTTTAAATAAATCCATTTACTTTTTCAGACTTGATGAAAAAATTATATAAGAGCAAAACCCTTTAGCAACAGGGCAGATGCAGGGGTATTGCTGCATTCAGTGTCCTTCCAGTTCTGCTGCCAAGCCTGCGATCTACAATATAGTGTCTTCTGTACTGCAGCAGCAACTCTACAGAGATCTCAAAAAGAGCTCTTCGCCATCCTTTTCTGCCTGGTCATTTTAAATGGAGATTGCCAGGAACTGAACATGGAACTTTCTAGATGCAAAGCATATGATCTGTAACTGAGCTATAGTTTATCCCTATTTGCTTGGAAGAATGACTTTTGGATTATAGCTCCTAGAACCCCCTAAAATGGCTGTGGGATTCTGGGAGTTATAGCCCTGATGTCAGATTTCCAAGCTCTGTCCATGCCTATCAATATGACAGGGGGATAAGGCAGTCATTACAAAAGTGCACCATCATATTCAGCAAGTGGTTGAGGAAAAACCTTTGTGTACAGAAAATGTGTTGAGCCTATTTCCGTATCTTTCATTTCCTTCATGACAGTCAGAAACCCAAGTGAAGGTTATGAGTTTGTGTCTGTTAGCAAATCCCCCATGCTGAACATAAGATCCAGTCCAGAAAGGTTGGTGATATATAATTTGCCCTTGCTAGACCGTGGCAACTTTGATTTGCTACAGTTCAAAAACTGTCTAGTAAGACAATATTGCTTTATAGCTACAGATAACAGTAACAACATCAGAATAAAGATGTTCCAAGTAAGTTAAGATAGTGCCTCTAGTCTACAGACTTCTTCATTTGCAGCAACTTCACAGCCTTATGTGCTGGCTTTTATTTTTCTCATAAAACCTGGTTTCCTTCTCCCTGCTAAGGAAAGAACAGAAATTGAATCACAATCAAAGGTTAACATGATAACTTTATCCAATTATGGTGACAATGATAATTAGCTTTTTTTTCTTAAAAAAACAACAACTCTCCAATGTGTGAAATTCCACCTAGCAACTATCTTTATTGACAAAACCACACTCATTTCTCCCTGATCTCAACATCAAGAGATCATTATGTATTAATGAACCATCACATATCAACTATTTTCATGCCACCTATTACTGAGTGAGTTTTCAGGGCAATTTACACTGTAAAACAAAATAAGGTGGTTCAGGATTAAGATGGGTTATCGCAGATAATATGAACAAGGATCTCTTAGGTACCAAGCTAAACATTTCTTTTCCTGACCTTCTAAGGACCTTATCACACGCTGGCCACGAAGCGAAAAGTAACCGAAATAAGGATAAATTCAGTTCTATACCGAAATGAACTGAATTTCACCTGCGCAGCCATTGCGCAATGATTCCGAAAGCTCCCTTGTACTTCCCCGAAAAACTGAATGTCAAAAGATCTCAATTCATTACGGATTAGCTCCGGGTTCTGTCGAGTTTCGGTGCAACGTCGTGTGTAAACACGGAGAAACAATACGGATTAACTCCGGGTTCTGTCGAGTTTCGGTGTAACGTCGTGTGTAAACACGGGGAAATAATATGTATTAGCTACTGATACCCTTTGGATTAGGTCTGCTTTAGACCCCGTGTGATAAGGTCCTAAGAATGGCTAATGATTTTTTCCTCCCATTTAGACCAGTTTTGATTTTACAGTCTCTCTGAAATCATCATTAATGCTGGTCCTTTCAATAACCCAGACTAACTAGCAGTGGGGCTTGTTTATGAACCTTCCCAAAGGATAACATTTTGCACAAGCACCAATAACATAACAATCCATCACAGTGAAAAGAAAGAAATCTACCTTTCTTGCAGACCTTGAGACAGAGTTTCTCAGTAGTAAAGTTGTTATCGTTTCCACCACAACCTGTATAAGTGAATTCCTCACAGGTTTTTGTCTTTATATTATAGTAAAAACGAGACACTGAAGCTGAGCACAATCCTTTATCTTTTGGGCTGTAGCAAAATGATGGGCCAGCTTCACAATAGAGGGGAAAAAAGGAGACAATTGTCATGGGTCAGTTTTTAACTGTGAACTGAAATGAAGCCAAATCAGTAAAGCAGGACTTTAAAAAAAAAGAGCAATTTTTTAAAATCGGGTTTAAAAATGTTTATTTTTAAATTTATACCGTTAAAGAGGTTTTTTAAAGTATTTATATTTTGGCTCCTACCTGTCTAATATGTATGAACCCTACACATCATCTAACACCAGTATCTCCTCCCTTACTCCCAACAAGACAGAAAACACTGTTGTGTGTTATCTTTCTATTTGCCAAAGCCATACAGCAACAGTAGGCAACATGGTGCCTCTCATATGTTCTGGGACTACAGTTCCTATAATCTCTTACTATTGGCCATGCTGGATAGGGATTATGGAGAAAGTGTTTGAAAACATCTAGGTCCCCTTCACACTACAAAATTATAATGCTATTATTCCACTTTAATTGTCGCGGGGCCTTATTTCATGGGGACCACCTCCTGCTGCCTGTAAAAATTGGAATAGCAGAAACTGAGCCAGAGTGGCATAATGGCTTGAGCATTTGACTGCAACTCTGGAGGCCAAGGTTCAAATCCTGACTCAGCCATGTAAACCCACTAAGGGGGGTTGCAGACTGCCAGAAATAGTGCAAATTGA